TGGTGATCAGCTTAAACACCATAGCACATAAAGGATCTGTGAGATGCCTCAGGAAATGAGACACTTCCAAGGAGCATAGTTTGAAAGAAAACCCCAATAGATCTTTCTGCCTCTAAAAATAAATACACTATTTTCTTTAAATTGCTAGAGAAGTGAATGAAGCACAGAGCCATAGAAAAAATAAAAATAAATGTTATTATCAATGAAAATTCTAGATGGGAAGTAAATAAAATGCCCAGTCACAACTGGAAACATTCTGCTTACTATGATATTTCTAGATTTTTAAAAAATGTCATATGCATGCATATTTTCTATGTAGCCAAAGCTCATAGTAAGCAGGAAAATCCAGATTCATTAAGAAAGTTCATGCTTCACCTCTTTTTATTCCTTTGCTTTAAAAGAACTCGCAGAAATAAACATTCCGTATCTGCACCCAAATGTAGAAAGTTGAACTAAAAAATAACTACAACCTACACAAAGACTTTCTATGTTTTAAAAAATGGCTGAAATATTAAGGTTATGTAAATGGCTAATTTTTTTGACGTTCGGATTTAATCTTGAAATGCGTAAAACATTAACTTCGTTTTTTTTATTTTGGTTGGTATTATTTTAAGTGTTCATGGCAAGTAAATGGCTAGAATAATGAAGGCTAAGGAAATAGCTCACAGTCATACAGCTTGCAAGTGGTAGTGATCAGATTTTTAACTTAGAAATTAAGTCCTGCTCATTTTCTACAATAGCATGATCACCATTGCAACTGAACACATAAACAAGACATCTGTAATGCATTTATTCATTATGCAAATGTTTGACAAGAGCCTACTGGTATGGCTTGGATGTTTGTCTCTTTCAAATCTCATGTTAAAATGTAATCCCCAGTGCTGGAGGTGGGGCCTGATGGAAGATGTTTGGGTCATGGAGGTGGATCTTTAAGGGCTTGGTGCTGTCCTCATAACAGTGAGTGAGTTCTCATGAGATCTGGTTGCTTGGAAGTGTGTGGTGCCTTCCCCCCTTTCTCTCTTCCTTCCACTCTAGCCATGTGAGATGCCTGCTCTTCCCTGGCTTTCTACCATAATTGTAAGCTTCCTGAGGCCCTCACCAGAAGCAGATGCACCACATTTCTTGTACTATCTGCAGAACCATGAGCCAGTTAAACCTCTTTTCTTTATAAATTACCCAGCCTCAAATATTTCTTTATAGCATCACAAGAACTGCCTAATCCACCGACCCTATGTCAGATACTATTGTGAGTGTTGCTATACAGCAGTGAGCAAGAGACAAAATTCCAAAGGTGTGCTGGTATGTTGTGTCTTCATTCTCATTGGTTTTGAAGAACTTCTTCATTTCTGCCTTCATTTCATTGTTTACCCAGTAGTCATTCAGGAGCAGGTTGTTTAGTCTCCATGTAGTTGTGCAGTTTTGAGTGAGTTTCTTAATCCTGATTTCTAATTTGATTGCATTGTGGTCTGACAGACTGTTGGTTATGATTTCTGTTCTTTTGCATTTGCTGAGGAGTGTTTTACTTTCAATTATGTGGGTCAATTTTAGAATGAGATGTGGTGCTGAGAAGAATGTAAATTCTACGGATTTGGGGTGGAGGGTTCTATTAGGTCCGCTTGGGCAAGAGCTGAGTTCAAGTCCTGAATATTCTTGTGAATTTTCTGTCTCATTGATCTGTCTAATATGGAGAGTGGAGTGTTAAAATTTCCTACTACTATTGTGTGGGAGTCTCTTTATAGGTCTCTAAGAATTGGCTTTATGAGTCTGTCTGCTCCTGTATTGGGTGTACATATAATTAGGATAGTTAGCTCTTCTTGTTGTGTTGATCTCTTTACCATTATGTAATGTCCTTCTTTCTCTCTTTTGATCTTTGTTGAAGTCTGTTTTATCAAAAACTAGGATTGCAATCCCTGCTTTCTTTCCTTTCTTTCTTTTTTTCTTTCTTTCTTTCTTTTTTGCTTTCCATTTGCTTGGTAAATATTCCTCCATCTTTTTATTTTGAGCCCATGTGTGTGCTATATTCTCCTGAAAATATATATATACGCCCAGATAGATAGATAGGTAGATAGATAGATAGATGATAGGTAGATAGATAGATAGATAGATAAATAGATGTGCTATATTCAGGAGACCCATGTCACTGTAGGAGAACTACAAACCATTGCTCACATGAGATGGGTCTTCTGAATACAGCACATTGATAGGTCTTGACTCTATCCAATTTGCTAGTCTGTTTCTTTTAATTAGGGCATTTAGCTCACTTATGTTTATGGTTAATATTGTTATGTATGAATTTGATCCTGTCACTGTGATGCTAGCTGGTTATTTTGCTTGTTAGTTGATGCATTTTCTTAATAGTGTGGATGATATTTACAATCTGTTATGTTTTTTGCAGCAGCTGGTACCAGTTTATCCTTTCCATATTGAATGCTACCTTCAGGAGCTCTTGAAAAGCAGGTCTGGTGGTGACAAACTCTCTCAGCATTTGCTTGTCTGTAAATATTTTATTTTGCCTTCATTTATGAAGCTTAGTTTGGTGAGATATGAAATTCTGGGTTGAAAATTATTTTCTTTAAGATTGTTGAATATTGGCCCCCCACTATCTTATGGCTTGTAGGGTTTCTACAAAGAGATTTGCTGTTAGTCTCATGGGCTTCTCTTTGTGTGTAAGCCAAACTTTCTGGCTGCCCTTAACATGTTTTCCTTCATTTCAACCTTGGTGAATCTGATGAATATCTTTCTTGGGGTTGCTATTCTTGAGGAGTATCTTTGTGGTGTTCTCTGTATTTCCTGAATTTGAATGTTGGCCTGTCTTGCTAGGTTGGGGGCGTTCTCTTGAATTATATCCTGAAGAGTGTTTTCTAACTTCATTCCATTCTCCCCTTCACTTTCAGGTACACCAATCAAATGTAGGTTTGGTTTTTGCACCTAGTCCCATATTTCTTAGAGGCTTTGTTCATTCCTTTTCATTCATTCTTCTGCTACTCTCTTCAGAGCTGGCAGACAGGAATATTTCTGTCTGCTGAAGCTGTGCTCCCAGCCCCTTGTCCCAGGTGATCTGTCCCAGGGAGATGAGAGGGTTATCTATAAGCCCTGGACTGGGGTTGCTGCCTTTCTTTCAGAGATGCCTTGCCCAGAGAGAATGAATCTAGAGTGGCAGTCTGGCTACAGGGACTTTGCTGAGCAGTGGTGGGCTCTGCCCAGTTCTAACTTCCTAGTGGCTTTGTTTACACAGTAATGGGAAAACTGCCTACTCAAACCTCAGTAATGGTGGATGCCCCTACACCAACCAAGCTTGAGTGTCCCAGGCCATCTTCAGACTGTTGTGCTGGTGGTGAGAAGGTCATGCCAGTGGATCTTAGCCTGCTGGGGTCAATGGGTGAGATCCACTGAGCTAGACCACTTGGCTCCCTGGATTCAGCCCCCTTTCAAGGGGAGTGAATGGTTCTGTCTTGCTGGCATTTCAGTCATTACTGGGGTATGGGAAAAAAATCCTGTAGCTATCTTGGTATCTGCCCAAACAGCCGCCCCATTTTGTGCTTGAAACCCAGGACCCTGACAAACCCACAGCCAACTGACAAAAGGCTAATATCCAGAATCTACAAAAAACTAAACTAGATTTACAAGAAAAAAACAAACAAGCCCATTCAAAAGTGGGTAAAGGATATGAACAAATACTTTACAAAAGAAGACATATATGAGGCCAACAAACATATGAAAAAATGCTCATTATCACTGGTCATTAGAGAAATGCAAATCAAAACTACATTAAGATACCATCTCATGCCAGTTAGAATGGCGATCATTAAAAAATCTAGAGACAACAGATGCTGGAGAAGATATGGACAAATAGGAACATTTTTACACCATTGGTAGGAGTGTAAATTAGTTCAACCATTGTGGAAGACAGTGTGGCAATTCCTCAAGGACCTAGAAATAGAAATTCCATTTAACCCAGCAATCCCATTACTGGGTATACATCCAAAGGATTCCATTACTGTGTATACATCCAAAGGATTATAAATCATTCTATTATAAGGACGCATGCACACGAATGTTCATTGCAGCACTGTTTACAATAGCAAAGACCTGGAACCAACCCAAATGCCCATCAATGATAGACTGGACAGGGAAAATGTGGCACATATACACCATGGAATATTATGCAGCCATCAAAAATAATGAGTTTGTGTCCTTTGTAGGGACATGGATGAATCTGGAAACCATCATTCTCAGCAAACTGACACAAGAACAGAAAATCAATCACTGCATGTTCTCACTCATAGGTGGGTGTTGAACAATGAGAACACATGGACACAGGGAGGGGAGCATCACACACTGGGGTCTGTCAGGAGGAACTAGGGGAGGGATAGCAGGGGATGGGGAGTTAGGGAGGGATAACATGGGGAGAAATGCCAGATATAGTTAATGGGGAGGAAGGCAGCAAACCACATTGCCATGTATGTGCCTATGCAACAATCTTGCATGTTCTTCACATGTACCCCAATAAAATACACACACACACACATATGAAAAGAAACCCAGGGCCCTGGTTGTGTGGGCATCTGAGGGAACCTCCTGGTCTGTGGGTTGTGAAGACCATGGGAAAGGTGTAGTAACTGGGCCAAGTGCAAGGCACAGGCCCTCATGGTTTCCCTTGGCTAGAGGAGGGAGTTCTTTGATCCCTTGCACTTCCTTGGAGAAGCAATGCCCCACACTGCTTTGGCTCACCCTCCATAGGCTGCACCCACTCTCTAACCAGTCCCAATGAGATGAGCAGGGTACCTCAATTGGAAATGCAGAAATCACCTGCTTTCTGCATTGATCTCACTGGGAACTGCAGACTGGAGCTGTTTCTATTCAGCATCTTGCCAGACACTGATCTGAAACTATTTTTAATATAAGTGCTGATTTTGGTGTGGAGTATATGCAAATGGAATGGCAAAGTGGAAATACAAGGGAATATACTGTACCTTGTTTTACCTGTAAGGAACACACACCTGACAAAAGGCAATTTTCACATCCAATGTTGGTTCACTGCAGTAGTATAAGAAATTGAGGCTCATAAATACCTAGAGGAAAAAAAATGGAGTGTAAGTTTCCAAATCACTAATTTTTCATTATATAGATTTTGGTGCAATTTGAGTTATATGCAAGGTATCATGCACAACATATCTCCAGCAAAATCCTTATCTTGACTTATACTATACATTTCACAAATTGTATTTAATAATAAAATGAGGTTAAAATGTCATATCTTTTATAATAATCAATTCCATCACACTCATAAAGATTAGATATAATAAAGTGGACATACCCAATAATTTAAAGTGAAATACATCCTTTTATAAAGTGTTTTCAGTTCTAAAAATTTAATTTACCAAAAAAACTTCAAACATATGCTCAGTAGGATACATATATATATATATAGTAGAATAAAAACACTATTAAATAAAATATGATTTATAATAGAATTCTATATAGAGCATGGAGTAATTATATTAGGGTTTAGTGTATCAGTATAGATAAATTTTTCAAACATGATGTTGACTGAGAATAGCAGTTTGTAACAGATATAAAGAATATACTTTATTCATGTACATTTTTTAAATTACAAAATATACAAAAATGATTATACACTATTTTTAAGTACATATAACTGTGGAGTAAAAAATATAAGGCATCACATTAGCATAAATTTAATATTGGGAATTACAAAGATTCAATTATATGATTTTCTGTATGTTCAGAATATTCTTTAAGTTTGTAAAATTTTAAAAATAGGAAAAAAATAATCTAATGATAGTATTACCAAATTAGATACTGGTAATGTGAATGATACAGCAACATCAGAGAAACACAAATAATTTTTTTTCAGTTCAATTAAACACACTTTGTTGATTGTTTATTATGTGCAAAATGCACAATTCTGTAAGATTAAGCCATTTAAAAACACTATCAATATGAGACTTTGGTTTCTGGCAATGGGATTGATAAATATCCTGAAAATTGCTATCAGTACAAAATTTCTAAAAATGTTACATAAAATCCACAAAACATCTTTTAGAATGCATAGCTGAGCTGTTGAAAACAAAAGCATGAAAAGTTCTGAGAAGCTGAAAACAATGTGAAAGGATACATGCAGAGAAGTAAATGAGCTGAAGCTGCTGTTTGTTCCAGACCAACTGCTGATGTCTTATGACTAGAACTTTATTTGTTCATTTTTATTATTATACTTTAAGTTCTGGGATACATGTGAAGAATGTGCAGGTTTGTTACATAGGTATACACATGCCATAGTGCTTTGCTGCACCCATCAACCCATCATCTACACTGGGTATTTCTCTTCATGCTATTCCTCCCCTAGTCCCCCAGCCCTCTACAGGCCCAATGTGTGATGTTCCCCTCCCTGTGTCCATGTGTTCTCATTGTTCAACTCTCACTTACGAGTGACAACATGTGGTATTTGGTTTTCTGTTCCTGTGTTAGTTTACTGAGAATAATAGTTTTTCTGGTATTTTTGGGTCTAGATCCTTGAGAAAGTGCCACAGTGTCTTCCACAATGGTTGAACTAATTTACACTCCCACCAACAGTGTAAAAGTGTTCCTATTTCTCCACATCCTCTCCAGCATCTATTGTTTTCTGACTTTGTAATGATTGCCATTCTAACTGATATGAGATGATATCTCACTGTGGTTTTGACTTGCATTTCTCTAATGACCAGTGAAGATGAAATTTTTTTTATGTTTGTTGGCTGCATAAATGTTTTCTTTTCAGAAACATCTGTTCCTATCCTTTGCCCACTTTTTGATGGGGTTATTTTTTCTTGTAAATTTGTTTAAGTTCTTTGTAGATTCCGGATATTAGCCCTGTGTCAGATGGATACATTGCAAAAATTGTCTCCCATTCTGCAGCTTGCTTGTTCACTCTGATCATAGTCATGAAGTCTTTGTCCATGCCTATGTCCTTAATGGTATTGCCTAGGTATTTTTCTAGGATTTTTATGGTTTTAGGTCTTACGTTTTTCTTTAATCCATCTTAAGTTAATTTTTGTGTAAGATGAAAGGAAGGAGTCCAGTTTCAGTTTTCTGTATATGGCTAGCCAGTTTTCCCAACACCATTTATTAAGTAGGGAATCCTTCCCTAATTGCTTGTTTTTGTTAGGTTTGTCAAAGATCAGATGGTTGTAGATGTGTGGCATTATTTCTGAGGCCTCTGTTCTGTTCCATTGGTCTATATATCTGTTTTAGTACCAGACCATACTGTTTTGGTTACTGTAGTATTGTAATATAGTTTGAAGTCATCAGGTAGTGTGATGCCTCCAGCTTTTGTTTTTGTTTTTTTGCTTGGGATTGTTTTGTCTATATGGGCACTTTTTAGGTACCATATGAAATTTAAAGTATTTTTTTTCTACTTCTGTGAAGAAATTAGCTTGATGAGAATAGCACTGAATCTATAAATTAATTTGGGGAGTATGGTCATTTTTCTGATATTGATTCTGACTATCCACGATCATTGCATGTTTTTCCATTTGTTTGTGTTTTCCTTATTTCCTTAAGCAGTGGTTGATAGTTCTTTACATTGTATTTCTAGGTATTTTATTCTCTTTGTAGCAATTGTCAATGGGAGTTCACTCATAATTTGGTTCTCTGTTTGTCTATTATTGGTGTATAGGAATGCTTGTGATTTTTACACATTGATTTTGTATCCTGAGACTTTGCTGAAGTTGCTTATTAGCATAAGGAGATTTTGGGCTGAGATGATGGCATTTTCTAAATATACAATCATGTCATCTGAAAAAAGAGTCTATTTGCCTGCCATCTTGCCAGCCCCTCAGAACTTTAGTTCTTAAATGGTAGCATGCAGAGTATAGGAAGCAAGATTTAGACCTATCTATGGTGGGAAGTCACACTGAAGACACTGCATAAAGCTTACTATAAGACATTTTCAATAAACTTCTGGAGGATGCAAAATAAGCCAAGTGGTAGGGTCTGAATTACAAGGAGAAATGTTTTGCACTGGAACTTGTACAGCTATTTTAAATTTAAGGAAGACCGAACAGATAAGAATATATAAAACACTCCTGAAGAAGAACAAGTGGGTGTTTGCCTAGGACGAGGGAGGGAATTGTTTCGCCAGAGATCAAGAACTATTATAAAGGTGTGATAAGCAAATATATGTGGAATTGATGCCATAATAGACTATGAATTAATAGACTACAGAGCCCAGAACAGACACAGACATATATAGAACCCAATTATGTCAAAGTATGCATTGCAGATATCTTAGGAAATAAGAAACTATGCATTAAATCATGCTGATCTGCCCCAATTGGTCACTATATGTGGTTGGGGAGGAAGTAGATTCCTATTGTAAGGCAGTTTTCTATGGGCCTCTCATATTTCCAAGTTTTTCAAACAGAAACACTAGCGGCCTTTGTTCTACACTATCTTCCTAAGTATGTTTCTATAGCAGACAACCTTGAAAGATAGAGATAGTATCTCCTTCTGGCGCAAAGAGTAGATCTGATGACTCTGGGGCTCTCTGGGGCAAAGGTCAAGCATGTTTACTGCCCATTACAAAAGATTCAGGTTCGCTTAGCTTGAGGTTTCTCTTCAATAATGCAACCCACTGTGATGCTGGGAGTAACCTGAATTGCTGCATCACCTTAAGGAAATTGGGGTCTAAGGAAATGACATGAGTTCTGAGATTCTAGCTACTGCTATTGCTTTGAGTAATAAAGTCCCTAGTATCTGACCCAGGAGTCACGTATCTTCTGCTAATATCCATAACTGTCAAAGGCTAACTTGTGAACTTGCAAGTAGGGTAACATCTCAGACTCTCCAGCATTCTTGACAATCCCTACATCATGTTGTACACAAAAAATAATTCCAGACAAATCAGAAACTTCAGGAAAGGCCAAACTTTAAATAATATTTTTTAAAATGGTTGAATGTATCCATGAAATAAATCATAAATAATATATGTGCTAAGCTCTGAAAAAATATATTAAGAAAATAAACTATATTAAAATTAATAATATCTGTTTATGAAAATATGTGATAGTTTAAAAAGTAGTCCCCAAATTTGAAATAAAAATACATATAAACAGTGAAAAATGTATACAGAATCTATAAAAACTCCTTAAAAACCAGTAAGAAGAGACAAAGGACTAATAGATAAGTAAACCCCATAAATGGAAGAATTTCATAAAAAAAAATAGACAAGGGCTCATAAACATATGTGTACCTTAAAATCACATTGAGATACTACTGTATATCCTTCAAGTTGTCCAAAACTGAAAAGCATAATAAATATTCAGTATTTGAAAGGAAGTTGATGAGAATATTTGTACATTGCTAATAGGTGTGGCAACTGGAATAACTCAATTTAGAGAAAAAATACCATTATTTAGTAAATTGGTGCACAGCCTACAATGCAATAACTCCACATCTACACATATTCCTAAAGTAACTTTTATATTTTTCTACCAGTATACATGTACAAGAAAGTTCATTAGAATATTTTTGTAATAGCATAATAAATAATAAAAATGAACTCTGGAAAAATCAAATATTGGTAGAAAGAACAATGGATAAATAAATTGTGGTATTTTCCTTTAATAGAATACCATGTGGCAATGAAATAGTTGAACAGTGTAACAATTGTCAACTATGACAAAAATCTCATAAATATTTTAAGTAAACAAAAAAGTTATGCTTAATCTGTTTATGAAATTTCGAAAATATGCACAACTAAATAATATCTTATTTAAGAATATTGCTTTAGTGTGATAAAACTTTTTTAAAAGCAAAAGAATAAAAATGCAAAATTGAAGGATTAGATAATGATTCTGAGGAGATGTGGAACACCACTGGGAAGGGGCATACAGGGAGCTTCAAAGACACAAGCTTTGTCTACTTCTTGAAGCTGGACAGTGGGGTCACACTGTTTGTTACATTATTTAAACAGATGAAATATATAGTATTGAATGTTTCTAAAATATTTTATAGAAAAATGATCTAGTGACACAAGGAAGTAGTGGTCTTTCAGTCTTCTGCTGGGCCTTGT